TTACCTGTGTTTTACTTTTTGGCTCTCATTCCTGCAGATTATTGCCAATGGTCGCGCTTATGTCGTTGATGGTGACGTTTACTTTTGAGTGGACGATTTCCTGAATTATGGTATTCTATCTGGACGCAAATTAGAAGACAACAGAGCTGGCGAAAGAGTTGCTGTCGATGGAAGGAAACGTAATCCTGCAGATTTTGCCCTGTGGAAGGTGGAAAAAGCTCGAAATTTTAGTACTTCAACTTTCATTGTATTTATATCACATACATTTTATGAATTATATTCATTTTTTTCCTTCTTTTATTTAATCATATAATGGCAGGCTGCAAAGCCAGGGGAGCCCCAATGGGAGAGCCCGTGGGGCCCAGGGAGGCCAGGCTGGCATATTGAATGCAGTGCAAAGTTCTCACTACCTAACTCATGCTTTTGATATTCATGGTGGTGGGATGGACTTGATATTCCCTCATCATGAGAATGAAATTGCCCAGAGTTGTGCGGCTTGCCCAGAGAGCAAAATTAGTTACTGGTTGCACAACGGTTTTGTCACGGCCAATGAGGAAAAAATGTCCAAGTCCCTGGGAAACTTTTTCACTATTCGCGAGGTAAAATAGCCATTGCCTCAAAATTCTATTTTTCATGAATCAATTTATCAATTAGTTCAGCTGCAGTTGTTTTATCGCACTTCCCTTTTTTTTACAGGTTACAAAGATGTACCATCCACTTGCACTGAGGTACTTTCTATTGGGTACCCATTACCGTTCCCCGGTCAATTATTCGATATCGCAGATTGAAATTGCATCGGATTCGGTTTTCTACTTGTATCAGGTGTGGAACATTTCTTTCTTATAAATGAGAAATCACATTATCTAGAAAAGTTAATAATAGCAGGGGGACTATTGTAATCGGTTGAACAGTCGTGTGGCTAATTGTTATAAGTTTCTAGACTTTGGAAGAGTCTGAAGATGCTTTATCTGAACCAAAAGAAGAGACGGAAGGAAATGCAAAACCCGCCCGTATTGGCTCTGATGCACATGAATGCATCAAAAAGCTGCGGAAGGAGTTTGAGGCAAAATTGGCAGATGATTTGCACACACCCACAATCTTGACTTCTTCTCTTCAGGAAGCCTTGAGATTTATGAATACTTGCCTAACCAAGCTGAAGGTGAGATTATATTTTATTATT